GCTGTATTCTTGCAAGTATCTTCGACTTATTGGTTGTTAACTTCTTATACCTAAATTATGGGGTCCCACTAATGCAGTCCCTTGCTCCCTTTGAACTCTAGCCTCCTGTGAAATGTGCTCACTGGGTTTCTGTAGGAGCCTCATGTATGAAGGAAACAGTGCTAGTGTTCCTCAGGCTCAGCGTGGCTCAGTGATGGCTTTGTCGTGGAGTGTGTGTAGTCATGTCTGCAATGGGAAATGTTAGTTCTTAAAATGCATGAGTGGTTTCCCTCACAGGCTTATTATTTCATGTATAGGAAGGACCCATAATCACTTTGAGTGCACAAGTCACATGATACCTTATGCTGCATGAATAGTTACAGAAATATCTACCACGTGAGATGCCATTTGTTTTAATTAAATACATAGACTTCAAAATTTATGGGAATCTTAAACAATGATCCTTATGGGTCCCTTCCAGCTTGAGATATTCTAGGATTCTATGACAGTTTTGCTTCCTATCTGGACAAACAAGTTTAGGTTAGTAGATTAAGTTAGCCTTCAAAGCTGAAAATGCTTGGTCTGAGATTTTTCTTTGGGACCCTTCTATTGTTCATTTCATGTTAGCTTGCTAAGCATCATCCAGTCTCCTGTCAGTGGGTTGCAAAGTTTCACAAGGAGGATGTTGCTTTTGCTTCCTTTCCCTTTCTTAGCAAACTGGTCCATGTTCCAGAGTTTATGATCTTTGCCAGCTTGTGCAGTTGTAGCAATATTAACTTAGATTTAGGAAAGTTAGCATAGCTTTTTGCCCTGTGATCATGAGATATTTTTGGAAGAGTTGTAGTTAGAGAAAGGAAAGAGGTGGTCATCTAAGTTTTACTGAAGTATTACGTACATGTAAATGATGCTATGCCTCTTCGTGTTGGTGGGTGAACTCCAAAAAAGCTACAGCTTCCACAGAATTTGAATAGTCTCATGTCTTTTCTGTCTGATCCCCCAGGTGTCTCGAGATGGTGGCCTCGCTGTGCCTACCAGTGATGTCCGTGGAAGCAGTGACATTGTGGAAGGCGGAAGGATGGCTCTAGATAACAAAACCTCCCTACTTAACACCCAGCCTCCCCGCTCCTTTTCAGGGCCACGTGCTCGAGAATATAACCCCTATCCTTATGCCGACACAATTAACACTTATGACAAGACCGCCCTGAAGGAAGCAGTGTTCGATGATGACATGGATCAGCTTCGGGATGGTTTGTATCAGCGTATCTCATAAAACTGCAGGCAGCTTGCTCTGTTTCTGGTATATTTGTGTATGGGTAGTGCTCTCAGATACATGCCTGCCCATGCATATGTTGTGTATTACTTTGCACCTGAGTCAAGGCTTGATACGAAATACTCTATGTTCTCATGTAACAGCAGAAGCTGATCTGTGGCTGTGGAGAAAATGTTATACTGCAGTTTTAATTTTTGTTTGCCTAGATTTTCTCACAAACTAGTCCCTTAAGCATCTAAATGCATCTGCAGGGACACTATTTTGGGGACCTTCCATTCTTTGACTGAAACATCTCACTCAATAGCTTGTTGTTACTGAGTGTTTCCCTTCATTTAAGTGATGCTACACCTTAGCTTTATTCTCTTGCAGTACGCTGATGAGTCACTGTACGTTGATCTAAAGGTCATCCGTGTGATTGGTGGTTTTGGGTGTGTGTGTCTGGGAGAAACTGCGGCAGTTCTCGTCTTGTAGAAGTAATTATTGGATGAAATTCAATTGTCATCTCTTCCTGGTTCGTTAGAAGCCATGTGCAGATTAATGAGCTGTGTTATGAACTCAGGTGAAAATGTGGGCTAGTCGGATTCTCCTGCCTGCTTGACTTAGGCCACCTGGAATTTAATGCATTTTTGGGGTGCCCCTTGTTCTGTGCACTTTGTTCTATAGAGGGTTAGTAACCTTGGCATCTTTGATCTCCCCCCCACCCCCCCTCCCCGCTTCCCCAAATGGTTTGCTGCCATTTGTCCTAGAAGTACCCATCGACCATTCAGATTTGGTGGCTGATCTTCTGAAAGAGCTCTCCAACCACAATGAGCGGGTGGAGGAGCGGAAAGGAGCTCTCCTGGAACTGCTAAAGATCACAAGGGAAGATAATCTCGGAGTTTGGGAGGAACATTTCAAAACCATTCTGCTCTTGCTGCTGGAAACGCTTGGAGACAAAGATGTGAGATGTAGATTTTTGTCTTAACTCTCCTGTACACTGCTTCATCTGGGGTGATAGTTCCTTCACACTAGTTGAAATGAAACCTGCTGTGTTTGTACGGCATCTCATCAGTGATGCTGCACTGCTTGTTTTTTCTTTTGAAGGTTGATGACTCTGCTTTCATTTTCAGTGTGTTCAATAGTGAATTTTAAGCTACTCTGAAGTGTCCCAGTTTTCCCCTTCCCTCCGGAGTGTTAGTAACAAATAACTAGGAAATTGAGCTAGAATCAGAAAACAAGGTACCTTCTAATCTCGTACAAAAACTATCAAGATTTCAAAAGTTTTTCTCTTCCAAGCTAGGATGAAGTTACAAGCTCTTAACTATATCATACCCATTCCCAAAAAAAGGAGAATAAAGGCACCCTAGAATAGATTAATTTCCCGCCCCCCCGCCCCGTGTGGTTTAAAGATCCAAGCTATTAGATCTCATGGGATGGATCTCTGTCTCTTGCAAAAATGTCATCAAGAACAAACTGCTTAATCATAGCGTCATCACACCTGTATCAGAAGATATGGTGGCTTTATCTAAGTACATGTGAATTGTGCTACTGCATGAATTTTGCAGATGAATAGTGAAGGACATGCTTCAAAGGCTGAGTGTAGAGTAAAGTAAGTACTCCTCTGCTGAAATGACAGAATCTATTTGGCATGGCCACAGGCCAAAAATTTAATATAACAGTTATGAAATTGAAGCAGGTGTTATAAATCCCTTCTGCTAATGATCTTTTGATATAAAGGATTAACACATAGGTCAGTGTTGACTACAATGACTGACTGTTCTTGAAAGTAATTTCCTTAGGAGTTACAGGAAGAGAGTCGATTTTACTGCATTACTACATGAGAAACATCTTTGTTGCATGGATGGAGCCCTGTTTGATGTCTGCAAAGCTAAGCAAAAGAAGAAGGGCAAAACAAATCTGATCTGAGCTTCTTTGTAGATTCATGTAATGCAGACATGCTGCTTTGGGTACAAATTTGTACTTTATTGCCAAAAGAGTACAGAATTCAACAAAGTAGAGTCATTCTGATTCTTTCTTATATCTGTGTCAACAGTTGTTTTATGTGAACTGTTGTGTAAAAGCAAGCAAGGAGACCAATTCTGAATTTTAGTTATATTGATTACAATGCTCGCTCCACTGGAGCTGGTAGAGTGATATAAGATTTCTGGTGGTGTAGGGAGCCATGAGAATTTACTTCAAACTATAGTTTTGAGAAGTGAATTTTTTCTAATGTGGATTTCTCTTGACACAGCATTCAATAAGAGCCCTGGCGCTGCGAGTCCTGAGAGAGATCTTACGGAACCAGCCAGCAAGGTTTAAGAACTATGCCGAGTTGACCATCATGAAAACACTGGAAGCACATAAGGATTCCCACAAGGAGGTGAGTGAGCCTTTCAGTGTTGCTGCTGGAAAGCAATATGGACCTGCTGAAGAAATGTAGGAACAGTGAGATTTAACAGGCAAACACATTGACCCATCTTGACAGTAGAACAAATTGATATTAAGTCTCCCAAGTATGAAAAGTTAGGATTTTTATGTGCTGAGGCAGGGAGGAAAAAAGTTGAGACTGACAGAGCTGCTTCAGTGGATTTGGAGCTATCTGGAATTGTAGGCCACTGTTTATCAACTTCCCAGGATTTCCTTGCTCTATCTGGGAGAGGCTGAAACCCTGTAGTAGAAAAGCGCATGTTTAATAATAATTTTGCGGAGCACACTGGGGGCACTGTGTTCCCTCCGTCTGTATGAGTAAGGATAAGAAATGTACTGGAGAACACAAAGCCCATGTTCAAGCAGAATTGTGTGTGAAAACTTAACGGTGAATATTGGGCCATAATGGTGAAATTGGGCCATGATGGAGAATTGGGAACTGGTAACAGGAGAAAATGGACAAAGAGTCCATGCTGCTGAAAAAGAAGCTGGGGCAGAGGAAGAAGCAAGAGGAAGAGTGAATTGCATTTTCCTTTTGTGAGAGAACTTGTATGTAAAACTGAAAGTATTCTTCTGGAGTAAAACAAAAATAAAGGGATATGATAATAACATTTGCAGTAAATAAATTCAAATTACATTTAAAGTCAGTCTTTGTAGATTGACTTCCAAGCTGGATCTTTTAATCTACCTTGTGCATGTTGCAAGTTTGAACTAAACCTTGGAAAGTGCCACATGAATTTCTCTATATGACTGTGATGGCTTTGTTACCAAAGTTCTTGCTTTGAAATCTAAGACACTTACTCTTCTCTGCAAGAGGCTTGTCCTAAATAGCAATTTTAGGCATCTCCGTCTGGAGAGCTTTGGCCATGAAAAAGATCATTGTATAGATCAGACTGCTCCAGAGCATTGCGTAACTGGCACAAGGTTATGTTAGCTGTGCGTAGCAGAAACTGTACTGTTTAAAAATCAAAACAACAAAACAAAAAATACCTTTAGG